CATTTGTCAGCAACCAGAAGATTCTGTGTTGTTCCATGGGATTCCATGATGTTCCATGGGATTCCATGATGTTCCATGGGATTCCATGATGTTCCATGGGGTTCCATGAGGTTCCATGAGGAGTGACTGGGTGGATTGTTATTGGCTGCAAGCCATGTCAGGATGACATCCAACCCTGGTGGTGTTCTGTCACAGTAGTGTGGGAAATACCGTGTTTTTTGGCAATAAATTGGTATGAAAAAGATTCTCCTTGTTTCAAAGACCTTATCTCTGCAAGGGCAGCTTCCAGAGTCATTGTGGTGGTGGGTTGGTGGGGGGGTCAAAGTAAGTGTGAAAGTTGGTGGGGTGACCCATTTATTGAGCCGGCCCGTTGATTGATTAGTCAAGGTATCCTTCTGCTGTGCTGTCGGTTTTGGTACATATAGAGTAATGTACATTTACAAAAAACCTCCAATTTCATCATGCGCACTTGTAGGTGTACAAGCAGTGACATAAACGCGGATTCTATGAATCCTTAAGGCACAATTGCTAGCATCGCTATATACGGCCTATTTCGTTGCCTTAATCCATAACTCAACTACCATTGACGACACGCGAGCGTTCCCTCAAGAGCTGCTCCGAAGATATCGTGAAACTGCACGGTGTCTTGTGTAACAGCCGCGCTAAGTCACGGGGTGCGCTTGACATTCTCAAAAACGAATTATAAGCGAAAATGCGTCCTGAATTCTTGGACGCGTCTTACCCCGCCTCAACCCTCACACTTCACACCTCGCACACCGCACTCCAACTCTGTCTCAACTTTGCACGTCGCACCTCACTTCGCGCCCTGCGCTCTGAGTTCATCCTGGTTGGTCATTCGATGCTCTTTTCGGTGTGTGAGAGAGCATATACATGAGCCGTATCCTGGCCATCAACTTTCCGAACATCTTGTAGTGACATTCCCTCCTACGACGCGGCACGCATATGTTTTTCATCATGTCTTCAAACGAAAATCGATTCCTTTGCTCCGATTACAACCATCCGGATTACACATGTCTCTTTCGCAACGATACCATACAGAGGTCTCTTTAAGCATTCCCATCCAATTTCACATGCTGATCGGCTAGTCCTGGGGAACGTATCGAAGACAACGACAGCGGAGATGATAGTGAAGTCGCCGCCTAGAAGAACCGCAGTACAACGTCACTAAAACATGGAACAGATGGCGAGCGCAAAGTCAGAGGAGATTGAACATAGTTCAAAAATTGGACAGGAACAAAGTTCTTCTAGGCTGTGTTAATCCACGTCTTGCGAATTCGGGCTCTGCAAGTGCAGATTCTCCGCCTGTCTGCTGCACTCCCACTGAACGGGCGACCGCTTTGAAGTCTCTCCTGCCAGACTCTACTGAGTCTGTTAGACCTTTTCAACTCGTACGTGCTTACCAGTTAGTCAACATCTGATTTGTCTAGTAGGGATGGGCATTAACCTGGCATTTACAACGACTGGTATGCTTTTGATGCTGTGAATTGTTTTGGCGACACGTATGCTGCTCCTTGGAACGATCCATTCACTACCCACAACCGGCCCCTATGGACATGACCCATTGTCAGATAGCGTCATCGCTCAAGGATTTCAGGGACAGTTCAATTCTACTTTTCTTCCCTCTGCCTTGCCCGGCAAAGAACCAACTCATGCTGCAGTACACGATTTGAATTCTCTGCATTTCATGCCCGTAACCCCTCAGGCCAGTACTCACTCCGACCAGCTTATTTATGAGGAAGGCATGAACCAAACAACTTTGTAACTCGACGGAACCGAACCAGACGTAGGTAAAGCACACTACAACCTGAGCAAGCTCTAGCTTCTGCAAACAGAACAGAGATTGCATCTTCAGAGCCTGGTCTTGATGTTGACCTGCCAGAAGAATTCCCGCACATATCTTCGCGTATATTCAAAGTCTCCTCAACTTTCTCGGAATATACAGTCTCATAGAATCGTCTCTGAAGACTATACAGCAGCACTATATCTAGATTGATGGGTGTCTGGGCCATTTTCTGTTCACTCAGATTGAGAAGTAAGTTTAATCTTGACGTTCGTTCAGGACATGGTCATAACAGTCAACAAGGTTTCGTGAGTATGCGTGCCTTTCCCTTAGTTGCGACCAAGGCATAGCAATGCTCCGCCTGACGACCCTCATACAATGCTCTCCTTCGACGGGTTGAGACCACTTTGCCGCCTAGTGCAAGATACACCTTAAACTCGATTCTGGATTATCAGATGTGTATGCTGTCAGCGCTTAAGCTTGTGCGATGTACACGATGCGATCACAGCTGGGACGAGGCCATAGCGAGGTGAGGGTGTATCCGATGCACGTACCTTCCCGATGTTGATTCAGTCTTGGCGGTTTTTTGGACCCGAAACCATCAAGACACGATTTCAAAAACCGTCCGCGGCGCTATGAAGGGCCGGCCAATCACAACAGTTATTGCAGAGCTCTTATCTACTAGATACCTGTTAGATATTACAAACGACAAGGTCCTGACTCTTGGCAGCGGATTAGATGTTTGATTAGGAAGGTAATTTAAAAAGGTGTGTATGGTTTCTCTATCTATGATACATCCGTGCGGGGTTATGGCCTAAGACTTTCACATGATCCGACCAACTTTCCTATTTAATACCATTGAATCCCTATTGTATATCTACCTCCTTCCTGTTGGGCTAATGGGATGGTGTAGCGTAGGGGTATATGCAACCTGTTGATTTGCTTGTTAAGAACTGCTGTATCGATACTAAGTAACATCGTGGGGCGGAGGTCTTGTGAAATGCCCTTTGGGGATTGCCTTTCCGATACTGTTGGAACATGCAACAACACCTTGCGGCGGATGAGGAAGGAGACATTTGGCAGCGGCTGATGCAATTTAGGGCTCTATCTTGGACAGAGACGACCAGAGCATGATGCGAGTCACAACGCCAGAGCTGGAGTAAGTATAAATATGTACGTGTGTTCTTGTTCAGTTTCATTTCTGTCATCAGCATCGCAGACTCATCTTGCTACGATCTCGCCTTTACAATAACAACGCCCCTTCTCTTCTGTGTTGTCTTCAGAACCCTATCCATGGAGCTCACCAGGTTTCTCGCTGCCCTAGCAGTCTTCCTGCCTATCGTATACGGCGCCCCTACCACGGCCGCCAACAACCTCCACCCCGAGATCCTGGCTGCCATGAAGCGCGACTTAGGACTGGACGCTGAGCAGGCCCATGTTCGCGTCGCCCGGGAGCTCAAGGCCACCGAAGTCATCGAGCAGCTGCGCACCTCAACTGGCAACTCTTTCGGCGGCGCTTGGCTCGTCGATGGAGAGCTCAATGTCGCTGTCACTGACGAGGCTTTGACCTCCGAGGTAATCGCTGCTGGCGCCACGCCCTTAGTCGTTTCCAATAGCCTCTCCAAGCTTGAGGATGCCCAGAAGGCACTTGACGAGATGGACATTGAGCAAGCCCTTGACAAGCGCTCGAAGGAGACTGGGATCGCGGCGTACTATATCGACGTCGCCGCCAACAAGCTCGTACTGGAGGCACTTTCCGGCAGTACCTCTCAGGCTGAGGAGCTGGCCAAGCAAGTGGGCCTCGTCGAGTCCGAGTTTGAGGTCCGCACCGTTAAGGATATGCCGACCACCTTCGCCACAGTCCGCGGCGGCGACGCCTACCTCATCAACCAAAGCGCCCGATGCTCTGTAGGTTTCTCAGTCACCACTGGTTTCGTCTCTGCTGGCCACTGCGGCAGTGTCGGTGCTACTGCCACTACCACCAGCGGTGCTACTCTGGGAACCTTCTCGGGTTCAGTCTTCCCAGGAAGTGGCGACTACAGCTACATCCGCGGTAGTAGTGGAAACACCTTCTCTGGCACCATCAACAACTACAGCGGTGGTACAATTACCGTGTCGGGCAGCACCGCCGCCGCCGCCGGAGCCAGTGTCTGCCGTTCCGGCTCCACCACCGGTGTCTTTTGCGGGACCGTCCGCGCCCTGGGCGCGACCGTCACCTACTCTCAGGGACGTGTCACTGGCCTCACCCAGACCAGTGTCTGCGCCGAGCCCGGTGACTCTGGCGGTTCCTTCTACTCTGGCTCCCAGGCCCAGGGTGTCACCTCCGGAGGCTCCGGCGACTGCAGCAGTGGTGGCACAACCTACTTCCAGCCCGTCAACGAGATTTTGTCGGCCTACGGCCTCACTCTTGTCCGTGGTTAAATAACTATTTGTTACATTTGTTGGTACTGCTGTTGGAAGGGGTTTTGCGAGTAGGGTACGCGAGTTGTACATAGTCAAATTTGATTGCAGCCACCCTGTTACAGGGCCTGTTAATTAGTTTGTTCGCATCAGCACGGACCTTTCCCTCAATGCTGAACTCGTGATCAATCATCCCAACTTCAACCTCCTACTGCACAACCCCATTGAGCACATGTGATGGGCCTCAAAAAGGATTGTTTATCTTATCCCCCCTGAGCTAGATCATATTGGTGACTCAGGAGGGGTGGCTTGCTATACTCAACACATTTGTGCACAATCTTTTTCACAGCATGCCATGCCACCTTCAGGCACTGAAACAGGTGCATGGCTACCAGACAAAGTATTAGATTTCTGCAAGTAAAACTAGCTACATATTGTTATGTTTGGTCTACTATTGATGGTGCAAGAGGTGGCTAAAGTAAGGGTGTAAATGTTGATGGGGTGGCTCATGCGCATTCAGCAACCAAGTTACCTTCCTAGGATTGTAGTGAAAGCTAAGTGTGAGGTCACTGTAGACAGGGAATTGGACACAGGATGGATTGGGGCCATCTGAGGCCAAATGGGATGAGATTAGACAAGTCCTTGATGGTTCAGCCTCAAGGTTTGTGAGGAATATATACAGGTGGCCTGTGAGCCTCTGGTTCAGCTCCGGAGTCTGCGCAAGGACTGGCCAGTATATGTAAGGGGAAATACCCGTTACATATAGCTGCTGGTAATGGCTAGAAAAAAAGTTGTAAATTTTTCAACATATGCTTATAGAGCAAAGCTCTGTAAATGTAATACTGCCATCTACTAAGCTCTGCGTACTATAGGTCTTGCGTTATTGGTATTAGATGTTAAGAACCAAGTGTTTTCATATTCTAATGAAGTAAAGTTAGCTACCTAGATATGCTAACGTGAGTATACACTAAGTAGCGCAGTATAACAGGCTGCACCCCGTTAGCGCCTTGGGTATGTTACGATCCATGAACAACTCGCAAAACAACACTGAACAAACAGGACTACGCAACGAGACGAGAGCAGCCAAGGAACTGCAGTATCGATTGACCAAGCTGTGAAGCCGCGTCAGTGATACCCAGTATAATCAACACTCGCAATATCTGTTATACGAACTGAGATTGTACGAAAAGGACTGCAGTAGATACAACGTGGATCTCGTACACAAACGATCGTCACGGACCCATATACTGACCCACTTGCAGAGGACCCACGTTGACAACGATCAATAGGACACCGAGGACCGAGTATCGAGGTCACGTCGACAACGCTCGATTGGACCAAGTATCAAGTCACTGATGATACTCGATATGAGCAGTACAATCAATCCTCCTGTCAAGTATATAAGCAAGTAGACACGCTGCCCTTATGGCATCGTGTTCAACCTTGTCAATCAACTTTGTTATTGGAATCTCACCTGTTCTCGAGCCAGACAGTATACTCTGTACTACTCATTGCAACCAGTCGCCATGGTCTTTGACTAGACAACTACCCCCTGATTATCACGGCGGTTTATCACGGTCAGACCTCTGCCACTCCAAGCTCGCTCAGTGATAACCAACCCCCGACGGCTTTCTGTACCTCTGCTCATCCCCGAGAACCAATCGAATAGTGTCTACGAGCTTTGCTTAAGACACGACTTCAACAGGGTAGTGCAAGCCTTGGACTTAGTACAGCCAGGCACCACCACATGGCCAGCAGCACAAAAACACTGCCAGCTGCTAGCTGGCCAACTGTCATGTCAGCACCCATTTGTCAGCACCCATTTCTCAGCACCTGTTTGTCAGCACCCATTTGTCAGCACCCATTTGTCAGTTTGCCACCTATCCAGATATATGAACCCTCTTCTTCCCACCTCTAGATAGTTCTCACTCATGCTTGCAACTCAATCCAATACTTCAACCTTCACTGTAACAGGGGTTCTTTACTTTACCAAGGGTAGCTAGTCCAGGGTTCGGTAAGCCGTAGGGTATGTTGGGTTGTAGGAAGATATTGCAAAGTTGAGTGGGTCGTAGACAAGAACTTCGTTGGTATTGATGTGAGTGCACAAGAGCAGTACTGTCAGAAGATTGTATTCTTGACTACGGAGATGCTAACCATGCCACACAGGGTGTATATATATTGAGCAATTCTGGAGGGTTAGTGGGTTAGTGGGTTAGTGGGTTAGTGGGTTAGTGGGTTAGTGGCCATGGTGGCCCGCTAACCCGCTAATCCTTAGCCATGTGACCAGGCCGCGTCACACCCAAGCCCAAGCCGTAACCCTTACTGTGTCATGCTTCCGCATCCCCTGTATTACATGGAATACCGTGTCCATCTCGACAGGTTCTGATGCCTTGTCCTCGTAGTGTTATTCGTAACATTCACTCCTCAACTTACTCCTTGATCCCTTGTGGTATTCCTACGCTTGATCCCTTCTTTATCATTTCTCCCTTCTACCACTTGTGGTATTCCCACACTTGGTCTCTTTCACACCCCTATCTCCAACAAGCCTGAACCTTCCTTCCACTAATCCATTCATCTCAGAGAGCAGTTGGTATCCCCAGCTGGCCCCCTCTCACACCAACCTCATCAAATTCATCTGATCTTATCTGGCATCTACCATCAGGGTCAGCCCTTTACAACGCAGCACACCAAGTGGTGCACTCTCACAAACTGTTACAATCAAGGAGCAACTCGCACAACAACACTGAACAAACAGCACTACGCAACGATACGAGAGGAGCCGAGGAACTGTAGTATTGATCAACCCAAGCATGCCATCAACGCAATGAGCTGGGCAATCACACCCTACCTTATCTTCAAAGCAAAGAACCATCTATACTGTGAGCGACGGTATGATATAGTCGTGTTTGGTAATAGTCGTGTAATAGTTGCGATGTCATGAGGGCGCGCCACTTAGTGTAAACTCACGTTAGTTGCATTTGGGCTGAGCCAGGATATGAAAATTAACATAGAATATATAATCTCTTCTTATCTCTAACCTCTTGAAATATCAGCTTTCGAACGTGCAACTGTCTTTCCGGTGTGATGAATATGTCACGGTTGAGGTGTCTACTTGCATTCGGCCGCATAGGCGCTTCTACAATAGTCTCGACACTGTGCTCTACCTGAGATCATTCTGCCATCAGCACTTAGCTTGACTTCAGCCATCTTCTCTTCTCCGCCTCGAGATCGATCTGACCATCGCTATTGTAGTGCATGGGGCTGATCGTATCCACTACTTTCTGCACATCCGGATGCAATGGTTTGATCCGCAGATGACCATATTCGTGCAAAAAATTGCTCAGTGTGCCATAAAGACCATTACCGACCCTGTTGTACTTCTCATCGTCGACCAATCCTCGGAGCGGGTGGTCGTCATGCCCCGCTTCTACCCTAAACTGACTCCATTGACTTTGCCAGAACATCCTCCACCGATTGCCGAATCCTGGGTGTACTGAATTTGCAGCCGGCAGATGCTCGAGTAGCCAGCGGCAGGCTACAAGAGCTTCAACACTGGGGCCCTCCTGCCTCAGACCATCTAAGTGACTCGACTCGGTGCGGTCTTTATCGATCTGTTCTGGAAACGTTGCAATGTGCCGTCTACATCTTGCCTCGCTCTCTTCAATCCTGCTGTGAAGGCATTCAAACTCTTTTCCCCATGCTCGGTTTTGTCTCTGGAGTTCAGTCGAGAGCTTTGAATTACATTGCTGTGAATGGCTTGATGTCGTTTGACCCAATCGTAGATCATTGCATTGCAGCTGTAGGTCTCTAACCTGCTGTCTCGTCTCTTCCATCAGCTGGAGGTTGATCGAACCCTCTGATGCTACTCGTTCAGAGATTTCCTTTACGTGTCTTGCCGTGTCACGGGCTAAAATAGCAGTCTCTTCAAGCTGAGCGGTAGTTCGCAACCATTCTCGTTGTAACATGACTGAAGTCAGATTGTTCTGAAGTTCTTTGAGACTCTGCTCGGGATCTTCCGGGGACGCATAAAGCCCAACCAAATCGCAAAAGGTCTGGATTCTGGCGCAAAATCTCTTCCAGGCCAGGCATTGCTTGATATTCTCATAGCTGCTTCGGTAAAAAGTTGCACCGTACTTATATGGAATGCGTGTTAAACGATATACTTCAATCTCAGTCAGTTCGGATATGTATTGTCGGGTTTCGCAGGAGGGAATATGTTGTACGTCAAAATCGCTTTGGTATGTTTTGCTTCCCTCGAAGAAGCGCATCCGATATGTGTAGCGAAGAAGTGTGAAAAACCACGCCCGGGTCAATCTTACTAGCTTTGCGATCGTTTGCCTTGGTTCGTCCCAGAATTCAGTTGCGATCTGCTGCAAATAGGTTAAACTGACATCTTCCGTTTGCGTGGGCGCAGGACTCAAGATCTCACGGGCCCAAATGTGTTTTTCTATAATCGTCTGCAGCAGGTATTTTTTTGGAAGTCGTGCAGCCATGTATGGCATTATGTGCCCAACGAGGGTCTCTCGGTCATGAGGCGCGATATACCAGAAGTCCAGAGATCTATATGGTTTATCTGGAATGACCTTTGAAGAAGTACGAGGTGGAGGGTTGGTTTTCTTGGCTAAGCTAAAGCATGGATCTGGGAATAGACGCATCTTCGACAATCGGTGCTATGATAAGCTTGTTCTTGCTGGGTGCTGTCGATACAACGGGATATTTGGCGTTCAAAATGTCCTGGCTGGTGGAAGGGGTGTAGTGGGCCTTTGAGAAAACATCGGTTAAATAGGATATCCAGCAGAGCATTTAGTCTTACGTTATGTTGTGGACTCGAATGCTAAGCACGTGTCCAATTTCGCCTGCGTCGCCAAGCTAATTCACTACCCGCTGAGCCGCTGCAGTAGATGGATTTCGTCGAGAGTTTTGCGCACGGCATATATCTACGAGGAAAAGAGCACCGATGTTGCAGTAGTTGCAATAAAGAAGGTGTAACCGCGCAGGGCAATCGGTCAGGGGGAAAACGCGCGAAGCAGTAGAATCAGTATATATGTTGTGTCTTTCTAGTTCAGTGTTCTGTCTCTCTCACCGGGCCATCAGGGTCTGCTTTTATGACGTATCTGGCGTCCAGACAGAGGTGGAAAGGGCTTGTTGGAAAGGGCAAGAGCACTGCGCCAACACACGTGGCACACATGACCTCTATACTCCATAAGCCGTCACAACCGAGGTCTTCAGCAGCTGCTCGACTTGTTCCAACATGGCTTGGGAAGCAGAGAGGGCTTGCACGTCGTGTTCATCAGTGCATGTCTATGTGAATTAGTGTGCATTAGACTCATCAATTTCGTAGATGTATCTTCTGATTGGTGTCCTTCGCACGACCGCCTTACCGCAGGATCGACAATCGCAAAGTTCGCGACCTTCGGTGCTAAGATGCACGCTGCAGGGCTACGCGCCAATCGTATGATGCCACATACGTTCGTTGATGCATCCATTTCAACCCATGAAACGCCCATGTGATACTGATTCTAGTATGCAAGCCACCCAAAGGGGTGAATATCGCAGCAGAGACTGCGAATTGATAAGATGAGCCGTTTTTTTTTGGAATTTCGAACCGATTTCCTTCCAGCAATAGCGTATCAGTAATGTCAAGGTATCTTTCTCCTTAATGCAATGTCAACTACAGTTATACCTTCCTGTGAGAGATCAGCCTCGTCTGTTGGTGCCTTAATTCCCTGTCTCACACTCGCAAGGCCCCACTAATATCACTTCTTACCCGGAGCTTGCCGTATTTGTTGGACGTACTGAGCCCACCCAGGGACGAATAAGGCCACTGTCAGATCGCTTCTGATCTTCACAGGCTATGCCTCCACAGTTGTTATGCGATGTATCCCTGTTGAGTCAGAACCATGCGGTGGCTGTCATTTTACGATTCTGTTACCTTCAAGTGCAACGCTCACTATATGAGGGTAGGCTCTCATGTCCTTCCTTAATACTTGGCGCTGAGTTGTGAGCTCCTTGTGATGGATTCGGCTTCCCTCAAACTCGCCAGCAATCTTTGTAATATCCTCTTCAGCCATCAAGACTACATTCAGAGGCCGTAGAACTTCATGAAGCTTGGTCATCATACCAGTTTCCACAACCTCCATTGGAGCAACATCGGCGAGTCGTTCAGAAGCGAGCTGTGCGGTTTCTTGTCAGAGATCGTACCCTGCTGCACAGTATGTGAATGGGTTTAACCTTGTAGTACACCTTCATACAATCAAAAGCTTTAGAATGTCTTCTGCATTTTGCTCAACGATGCTCGTCCAAGGTTGCAGATCTGCGATGATCATCTAATTGCAAGTGCCGGATAGTTCACGACCGCGGGTCCGACGAATCAGATGATCGATATGATACATGTATTAACACCTACTAACTATCATAATTTCCGCATCGGTTGTCTCCTCTGAGAGTCGATGATTTTGTATTTGTGACCTCCTTTCGCCATGTTGTTCGGCGAATGATTCGTTGAGGTTCTGTATGACAGCGCGGAGACGCTTTTGGTATCCGACCTCCGATTTGGCGTCTCCAAAAAGGGATCATTATACGATCCATCGACTGCGGCTTTGGTGATGAACTGGCACATCTCGCTCAGCTGAAGCAGGTATAGTCACTGCTCTTCTAGAGTGGCTCGAGGCTCGCCTCATTTCTGCAACCGGCTTCTGCAGCTATCTAGTTTTGTTGCAGTAAATGCAATAAGTGAAGGTGTAACCGCGCAGAGCAGTAAGTCAGGGGTAACCGCGCGAAGCAGTAAAATCAGTATATTCTGTTGTGTTGTTGTTCAGTGTTCTGTCTCCCTCACTCGACCCCCAGCGGGGTCTGTTTACATGACGTATCTGTCGTTCAGACAGAAAGTGCTATTGGAACAGGCAAGAGCACTGCACCAGCACACGTGGCAGACATGACCGCTTTACTCCATAAACCGTCACAAGTTTGCACCTGATCTCTTCCATCAGGCTGGATAATGCAGCTGCGATTTGTGCTAGGAGTAGAACACTGAGTCGTTCTCTTCACTTCTAGGCGTCAAGGGTTGCTCTAGGAAGGGTATTTCTGGAGGTTTGAATTGGAGGAATGTACTGTGTTGATTGAAAGATGCAGAGGACCTCTAAGATAGCTATATAAGCGAGCAATAGACGAGCGTCTAACCACAGTGAGCATAGAACAGTGAGTTGATGCTATTGGCCTGACTTTTAGAGGATCGAAACCGTTACAGTATCCCATATACTATTAGAGAAGAATTCTTGTTCCTTAGCATCGCGCATACTCAGAGACCCTTTTCTGTAACGGCCTACAACCTTGGCCGGAGCCACTCTAGTACAAGCTGGGATAGCTCATATACGGCTATCTATATACGACGGGACTAAAGTAATAAAGGACCCGTTCGTGCTGAATTGTGTAGACAGGGTGACCGCAAAGGTAGCAAAACCTGGTGAACATCTTCGTATAAGACAGATCATAGCGGAACCACCTACACGGTGTGGCGTCTCACATGGTTACTGGTTCCTTGGAGTTGATCTTTCGTTATCATCAAATCGATACTGATGCAGATACACCAACAATCAAACGCCCGCGTACTTTCAAAGCTGACATATAGTCATCCAGTGCATCCAAACTCCCAGCATCACACCTTCTGTTTCGCTTACACGTCAGGCCTCTGCCTCCTCCAAATCCACCAACAGCCGAATCGTGCCTAACACTCTCTTCAACAAATCAGCATCCCACTCCAGGCAATATCTGCCAATGAACATCACCATCACCTTTTCGCGTCCACCGCAAAACATCTACCCTCCAAAATGCTTCTCCGAACTCAACTTCTGCTCTGCTTCCGACCACTGTCAAGTCAGGCTGGGAACAGCCGGCGATGCATTCATACATGCAGTTTTCGAGTGAAAGAGTTTCAGCGATATTATGACTCAAATTTGGGTGTAGGTTGTCATTGGACGCGTTTATGCGCGACTAGGTGGCAAGGCAATGATCACACGGGCGGCGCGCGGTCACGCGGGCAATCTTCATTGCACATTAGGTCTGCAGCGTGTGCATTGATTGGGTAGACCGTATTCGGTGGAACTGGTGAACTCTTTCAGTGAAAGGTGGTGAAAGAAAAGATGTGGTAATATGCGCTGATCGGGTTGACATCGGTTGCTGCCTTAAGTGGCGCGATCGTGTTTTGCGGCACCTGAGGCTGAGGCCTACATATGACCGGCTTCATTGAACATCCTGCTTTGTGACCGCTTTTGATTGGTCCCAAGCTTGGGGGCAGGGTTGGTTGTTTCTTTGGTTGGTTGGTTGATCCAATTGTGATTGAGAGCAGGGGTTGAGCAACGACAGGCGATGGGCTAAATCCAGCGAAGCGAGAATGTGGCAAGGACGGACTTCAGCGGAGCGTTTCGAGATCCAATGAAGCATGCGCCACAGCCCGAGCAGTTTTGGCATAGCGCATGTTCATATCTTAGGCCGCTTAGCGTATAGAACCCCACTATGTTAATTTAAGCGCTTTGGATCCTCTCGCCGCAGTTCAAGAACCTGCTTGTCTTTGCGGACAGCCTCAGTGTGCATGCCAACCTAGACTGCATGACCGAGATTCCAAGGAGATCTACTGTGGTAGCAGGCATAAGTTTTGTCGGTGGAGAAGGTTGACAGGGGTGCCTGGCCGTACTGGTATTTGTTGGGTGTATTTTTTCTCAGCTTTGTCATCCGCTACATACAGATCTCAGTACTTTGTGTGACCTCCACAAGCATCAATTACTGCCTGACAGCGATCCTTCATCGTTGCCACCACATTTGCAAGGTCATCAGGGGTAATTGTTTCCTAGGCTTCTTGTACAATACCCCTGAGTTGATCGTAGGTACGCTGCCTTCCCCCAGGCAGGTCAGGATAGTGTATCTCTATATAGTGTTTCAGCCGGTTCCAAATGAGCTCAATTGGATTGAGATCAGGTGAAAATGGAGGCCAATAGATGGGCACAATGTCCCTCTCTTGGAGCTCGTTAAGGGTACATCCTGCTCTGTGGCCTGGGGCTGAATCCTGCATAAACTGAAGGTCTGGGAAAAGGCGTAGCCACCCATGGATAAGTGGTACAATCCTTTCAAAGTACCTCTCTTTGTTGATACTCTTCCACTCCTTCTCCCAGAAGAGTGAAGGGCCTTTTGTTGCACCAGAAAAGCAAGCCCAGAACATCCAGCCACGCTTCTTTGGTACCTTATCTATCACACAGGTAGGATCAAAATCCTCTCCTGTCTTCCTTGTCACCCATCTCCTCCGGTGTCTCCCCCCAGTCACCCAGGTCTCGTCACTCCACAAGATCCTCCACCATTGCCAAGGCTCCCAGTTAACATGCTGCTCAGCCCACTCAAGGCAGAGGTCCTTCACATCTTGGGTGAGCGGAGGCTTTGCTAGGGCAACTCGGCGTGCGTACCCTCTTCTTTGTAAGGCAGGGCGTATCACATGCTCAGTGACACCCCAGGCATCAAAAGGACCGTTGGCTAGCTGTCAATAGCTCATTTGACGTGTGCGTCTGTTACGATCAGTGGTACACTAGGTAGCACTGGCAAGGATCGCTCTCACACTAACGTAGGCAACAACAGAGCAGCGGCAAGTCTTGGTTAAGCTGAGACGCAAACAAGGCCAGCTGTCAGACTGCATATATGCTCTCACTGATCTCACGATCCGACGTACAGCAACAGAGCATGGAGAGCACTCTGCATGAACGCTCCCACTGCTCTCACTGTGCTGTCAGATCACACAGAGCAGACAGATCACCACGTAGACACGTTTAGTATATAGTATGTAGGAACACAACCCTTATGGTTCATGTTCAACCTCGTCAATCAACTTTGTTATTGGAATCTCACCTGCACTCGAGCCAGATAGTCTACTCTGTACTACTCATTGCACCCTAAGCCGTCGTTAGGTGTTTCACCCAGGCGACTTACCACTACTGTTCCAGAATCAGAGCTCATCTTCGAGAACCAATCAAATAGTACTTACGAGCTCTGCTTAAAGTACGACTTCAACAGCGTCGTGATGATCGGATGTATGCCTCAAGCTCATCTACTTGGGCATCAGTGAGGGTATGTGGGTAACCGCTGCGTCGTCTAGGAGTTACCTGATCACTAGCAATTGCATAGCGAACTTGTCTCTCAGTGATCTTGAGAAAGGTCGGCAATATACTTCTGGGTATGGCCAGCAAGGCGTAGAGTCTGTACCTGGAGGCGTTGATTGCGTGATAGGTGACGACTATTGACCCTATGCTGTGGCGTTGACGGCGGTGTTGATAGAGGTTGAGTAGACATTGTGATGATGACACGTAGATGCAGCTGAAGACAGGTCAGCATTGTATTATATACAATATTAGGGGGGATTTGGTGTAATTCTGCCAGTAGGGCCATTCCGTGTCATCTGATCGGCACCCCTGTTGTGCCTGCCCCACCGACAAAACTTATGCCTGCTACCACAGTATGTTGTATGATAAGCCGTGTTCATCTCCTGAGGGTAAGACTCCACCCTGGACTAGCGTTACCCCTCAGCCCTCGCGTCGCGCGCTTAGCCCCAGCTAGCGCGTAACTGACATCCATTGCCTGATTGGTCGGCGCAGTAGACTCCAACGTGGAAAACCTCGAAATCATCGAGCTGCACGCCAAGCGTCGGACATGGCATGTGCTCAAGTAGG